TTCCAATCAGTGACAGTGCGTGGAAAAAATGAGTTTTTAAAGGCTTTCGTTTGACAGGAATATTCCTTCAGTTTTTTTGGATGCTCGGAACGAGTTGATCGGCGGTGAACCGTTTTTATGTACGCGTGCTTGTCTATGCGTAGCTTGTCGTGGTAAAGCAGAAACATGTACTTTAATCGATCGTGTTGCCGTCTTGCCTGCAATGTATCCAAGTCAGCTTTTTTTAACAGTTCACTGGGTGATGTAAGAGCACTGTAACGATTATATACAAATCGGATTGCTTTTCTTTGAATCATTTCAAGTATTTTAATATTTACTTGGCTATAAGGGTCCCAAACCACAGATGAGTACTCGAGGATTGGACGGATAAAAGTTTTATACGCAATTAATTTTAACTTTGGAGTAGATTTGCGCAAAGAACGTCTTAGAAATGCTAGTTTCTGTAAAGCTTTCTTTTCAATGTAGGCAACATGCTCATTCCACTTAAAATCTGCACTTAATACAACCCCCAAATATTTATAGGTTTTAACAAACGATAGTTTTTGACCATTGATGGAATACGAGTGTTTCAAAGGAAGCCGCTTGCGCGTAACGGTCATAGCAACCGTTTTCTTTTCATTAATCTTCATTTGCCACACTGCACACCAAGAAGATATTTTTGTTAACGCTGCGTTTAAAAGAACCTGGTCGTCTGCACTACGTATTTCCTGATAAAGAATGCAATCATCTGCAAATAACTTGATAGAAACCGGGATGTCATTGGCGATGTCGTCTATAAATACTAAAAAAAGAAGTGGCCCAAGCACAGAGCCCTGAGGGATTCCCGATTTCACCGGTCGTGAATCAGACTGGACGTTATCTATAGAAACTATTTGATTTCGACAAGAAAGGTAGGCCTCAATCCATGAAGTTATTGTGCTGTTTTTTAGTATAGGTTTAAGTTTCGCGAGAAGTTTTGGATGCGACACGCGATCAAATGCTTTTTCGAAGTCTAGGAAAACCATGTCAATCTGGCCTTGCCTATCTAGAATAGCTGCAATGTCATGAACGGTTTCCAACAGTTGTGTGACGGTTGAGAATCCTTTTCGAAAGCCGTGTTGTCGGTCATTGATTAAATTATTTTCCTCGAGAAAAACTGAGAGATGCTTAAATATAATATGTTCTAATACCTTCGCACATGAGCAAAGCAGAGAAATTGGTCTATAGGCGGAGACGAGAGAAGTGTTAGGAGATTTGGGTATAGGGATAATTTTTCCGAATTTCCAGTCATCTGGAAGCGCGCGCTGTGACATTGACTTCTGAAAAATGATGCACAAAAACTTCGAGCACCATTCAGCATACCTCACAAGGAACGCGTTAGGTATGCTATCAATACCAGGCGTCTTTTTGGGATCTATGTTAAGAAGCAGAGACAAGATTCCTTCCTCAGATATTGCAAGGTCACTTATTGGTGGGATATCATGAAGCGTTTTTGGACATGGCCTTCTCCCATCGTCATCAGTAAACACTGAACAAAAAAACGTGTTAAATGATTCTGCAATAGTTTCTTTATTAGTTACGATAGTCCCATTTACACATATATTATGAAAACGCTTTTTCTTTGGGGCAAAATGCTGCCAGAATTTCGCTGGGGATGACAGCAAGAAGTTTTCTAAAGTGACGTTATAGTACTGATCTTTTGCTTCCTTGATACTGTCTTTTAATTCTTTACGCACGTTACTGAGTTTAAGCATGGTCGATGGAGTGGGGTTCTGACGATGCTGTTTTCTTATCCTGTTTGCCTTTCGCCCCAAACGAACAACTGGCATAGTGATCCATGGGCTAACATTTTTTATTATCTTCACTTTTTCTGGCACAAAGTCATGAACGCACTGCAACACAAGCTTTTTGAAGAAACACCAAAGGTTGTTAACAGTACAAGTACTACATTCAGAAAGTAATGTGAATCGAGAAAATTGTAAGTCTAATGTGTCTAGTATTTCTACGTCTTTTGCGCGCGAGAAGACAGACACCACGCGTTCTTCCCTCTTGCCTTTTGAAACGTCATTAAGATTAATGCACATGTAAACCAATTTGTGATCGGATATTCCATCAAGCACATTGGTGTCTGCAACACGACGCAGCATGCTGTTGCTAACGAAAAAAAGATCCAGAGTTGTAGCAGTAGCATTCTGTACGCGGGTTGGTTGCTTAACTAGTTGAGTTAAATCATGAAAAAGGACTATATCGACTAAACGTTTCGCTGTATTTGAAGATGGTACAGGAAAATCAGTATCCCATATAACTGAGGGAACGTTGAAATCACCGCCAACTATTATATTACTAGAGCAACTGTGGACCATGCAGAGAAACTACTGGCGCTTGCGCGGAAGTAGTATTACGTACTATTATATTACTAGAGCAACTGTGGACCATGCAGAGAAACTACTGGCGCTTGCGCGGAAGTAGTATTACGTACTTCGATGACGAAGTTGGTCGCATCTTGATGTGCGCTGGCCATTGCTGTTGCACCGCACAGGAATATCTGCACGTAGAAAAGAAGCGGCTTGAACATGGTGCTACAAGATGACCAGCCGACGTGCCCATCGTCCTCTGTTTAAACTGAGCCCTGCTCCACCGCGGTGGTCTAGTGGCTAAAGTACTCGGCTGCAGACCCCCAGGTCGCGGGATCGAATTCCGGCGGCGGCGGCTGCATTTTAAATGGAGGCGGAAATGTTGTAGGCCCGTGTGCTCAGATTTGGGTGCACGTTAAAGATCCCCAGGAGGTCGAAGTTTCCGGAGCCCTCCACTACGCCGTCTCTCATAATCATATGGTGGTTTTGGGACGTTCAACCCCACAAATCAATCAATTAAACTTAGCCCTTATTGTAAGCCTCCATGTTTCTGCTCTGTAGGTAAGAACCGGACATGGAGCTGGTACATACCTTTCTATTTACGGATAGTGGCAATCTACAAGTCAAGATTTGAGAGTGCTAGCCGGATGTGCACTTTCGAGTTCTTATTCTTCTAGTTACTTCAATCTCGTGGTTTGGCTTCGCGGTTATTGCCTGTCACTATCTCTATCTCGAAGCGCTGTTCTTTTCCTAAATTGTTGTACGTCACTTTACTTTCTACAGAATAATTTGAAAACCAAACTTTCTGCTCTGCTTGTCTAATTCAGTAATCATGAGTGAATATTTGTCCCCTGAGTTACACAGCAATGCAGTGTCATCGGCGAAGCGCAAGCTACGAAGATGCGCTCCATTTATTCTTATCCTTAACTTCTCCCATTCTAAGCCTCTGAAAACCTCTGTAAGCTCGCGTTTATTAGCATAGGAAAGATGGTATCTTCCTGGCCTACACCCTTCTGTATTTGTATACTCTCACTTTTTTATAAAACACTCTTTTGTCAGTTGATGCTAAGAATATTTCATCCAGGATGCTTACTTATGCTTTGTCGACGCGCTGATCACGCAATGTTCTGGACTGCTGATATTTCAACTGAATCAAATGCCTTGTAGAAATCTATGAAGGCTATGTATAGTGGGTGGCTGTATTCTGAGCATTTCTATATTACCTGACTGATAGTATAATTGTGATCGATTGTTGAGTAGCCTGTTCGAAATCCCGCTTGTTTATTTGGTTGATAAAAATCTAAAGTTGTCCTAGTTTTGTTGATATTACCTTTGTAAATTGCTTGTATACGACGTAGAGCAAGGTGAACGGCCTGTAATTCTTCGAGCCCTTGTCGTCTTCTTTCTTATGTATTAAGATGATGTTAGCATTCTTCCGAGATTCTGGTAACCTTTTCTTCAGCAGACACTTTGTAAACAGGGTTGCTAGATTTTCTCACACAATATGTCCTCCGTCTTTCAGCAGATATGAACCTTCACCAACAGTTTTGCCTCTTTGTAACCCATCCAAGGCTTTTCTGACTTGCCACAACCACCATGTGTTTTTTGACTTCGTCTGCCATTACTGGTGGAATGTCATCTGTGTTACTTCTAGTTCTTAACTTAAGGTCATAGTTGTCCCGGCTACAGTACAGATCTCCGCAGAACTCTTCCACTATTTTGGTAGTCACTTTGTCTTCCTTATCCCTAGTGCGCACGTATGATTTTTGCCTATACCAAGTTTCCTCTTCGCTACTTTGACGCTTCCTCCGTTCTTTAGAGCTTTTTAGTTCTCTTCGTGTTAGACATTCTTACATAAGTTAAGTTACGCTTAATAACCAACTTTGAAAGTTCTTCTGATTCTATTTTTTGTTGTTTTTGAGGTTCTCTTGCTTTGACATTTTTTAGTTGGGTTCTTTGTCTCCTGAAACAGCGTGCTAGTGTCCTGTCTGCATACCGTACTTCCAACCTCCACTGCACACTCCGTAATAATAGGTGTCAGATTATCGTTCATTGCGTAAACACGAAGGCTGTTTTTTTCAATAAGAGCCATGTATCTGTTCTGAAGTGAGACTCTCAATTTCTGTACTTCCCCTTTTAGCGCTAGCTCATTGATTGGCTTCTTGATTATCAGTTTCTGTCACTCCTTCTTCAAGTCTAGGTGATTTTGAGACCACTTCTTTCTGTGGTCACTGCATCGTACCCTGACTGACACTTCTACATCCTGCACAATGCCTGCGAGTGAACTCAAGAGAAAGTCTGTTTCGTTCTTACTTTCGCTGTTTAGGCTCTCCATATCTAGTTACGCGTATCAAGTACATCCGTATCCTCCCTGCCTCACTCTTTTTAATATTTTTTGTGCACAGGTAAGAGAAGGCTGCCCTAAATCTAAATATTCATTGCCATTTGAAAGAACAATATAGCGCTCGTGTGTCGTGTCTTTTCCATGTGGGGTACCTCGTGTGTTTTCACTGCTATTTTTTCTTCGGCTAACATATCTCAATTTCTAAGCGTTGAACATATTGGTTATGCAGAATCAAGCCTTATTCACTAGCTTCCGGAACACTATGAAAATTTGTGCAGGCGCCCTTGCTTTGTGTTAACACTATCCATTTCATTACGCAACAGATAATCGACCCAGACAAGAACAAGCTACTCGGACCCATGCAGTGCGGAGAATTGCTCTTTGATACACCATGCGCCGCAATTGGGTACTGTGGGCATCTTGACCCTACGGCTGCCATCACCGATGAAGAAGGGTGGATACACACGGGTAAATGCGAGCGAGACGTTTCTTTTGTGAGCAGGTGCTAGCAATATAATCGTTATGTTTTGCTTCCCAACCGATCGACACTGTCAGCTTGTCAGCGTCTTGCATTTTATGGCTTTTGTGAGGATCGAAGCTTACGAACTAGTTGAGCAATATTATTATAATATTAAATTATTATTGAAACTTTCCCTAAAAACATAAGGTCGCAGTGCAGGCACACACAAACACCAAGCAATAAAAATAAACAATACAATGCAGAGAGCCTTAAGAATAAAAAATTGAAAAAAAAAGATCGAAAACGCACAGACAAATGGGAATCAGCACAAAATAGAAATAATAAGAAACAAGACGAAAATTGTTGAATGGAAGACAAAACTCATGTGAATTTTACACTACTATGCTGAAAGGCTTCCTGAAAGACAAAGAGCGAGGAACCTGTACATCGTGAAAATCTATGCTGAGACACTGCAAAGCTGCAATAAAAACAATACACATGAATAATGTAAAAGATCAAGCAAAAGAAAGTTCATGTTGTAGGCATTTCGTATGTTGTGAGTGGTAGTGTGTTGGAATGAGGTGACAGGTACAATGAATGGTCTTTTCGATCTGGTTAACTTATGCTAAAAAATCAAAACTTGCACGACCGAGGAGTTAACGGCCAGGTATTACACCACTAACTAGCTTGTAAATTTCTAGCTAAACCCCAAACGTAAATGTTTACGAATTTTCGCTGTACTCGCTCAATAGCGTTACTGCCGATTTATAAATGTCATCTCAATTTATAGATGCATACTTAAGTTGAGGAAGGATTATGGTGGTGCACAATTTGTGGAAGGCTGTTGCTGAACTGAATTATTGAGACATTCTGCAAACACAGCCGAGAGAACGAAGGCCTCGCATGCATTTCGTCATTATCTGAGTCTAGTAGCCCACAGGACTCCCCACGTTTGCTAGACTCTGTCTGTACAGGTACTAGCATTGAGCGTGCTTATCGAAGGTTTTTGTTAAAGACTAAAGTCCTTCTTGGGGACCTTCGACGCAAAAACTTCGGTCTGTCTGTCTGTCTGTCTGTCTGTCTGTCTGTCTGTCTGTCTGTACATTTCTCTGTTTGTCCACCATTACCGCGAACCGGGTATACTAAACAGCACCAGCCAATACTCTGAATGGGCAACCCCATACACAGCGACCACCAATGCTGCTCAAGGATCAGCGTTCATACATGTGCGATTGTCAAACAAAAAGCAATTATTGCGCATATCTGAGGCACCATAACAACATATAATATTCTGCATGTTCATCTTTTACTAGAAAAGGCATAGATAAGAAATTCTTAAGACCGTAGCGCTTATCACGCTGCACTTACCACGCGAAGCTTGCACAGAAAGGCGAGTGTTTCCAACGCTTTGTTAAGACGACATGGTGGGGGCAGCTGCCCGTCGCCTTGTGTTCTACACCTTATAACCTCTGAGACTGGCGCGCACAACCGTCTCAGGGCCACGCGCTTTGTTTTCCAAAAAAAAAAACTGCCAGATCGCGCTCAAGCCTCACGTGTGACGTGACGTGATGCGCTTGTTCGCCCCCGCTGCACGCTCGAGGCAATCTAACGCAGCGCCTTCGGAATACCATTCACCGATTTTCTTGCGCAGAACATCAAATAAATATTTTTTTCACTCTCTCCAAACGCAACACTATCGTCTTTCGACGACATTTCAGATTACATGCAGATATGGGGCCATTTTTATAATAAATATATCACAACTATGGTCCCGTTTACATAGGCGTTTAGAAAGAGTTCAGAAAATGCTTAACTCTTTCTTTTAGTTTTAAATTGAGAACCCGTAACCTTCTTGTCCGAGTGATTTTTACGCTTCGGTGCACTTCAAGTCTCAGGGGAGGATAATTGGGTACACTAAGAATGTTTAGGTTATGTTGCCAGATAAACTTGCTCGAGACGCTTCACATAAGCTCTGTAAATTGCCATTTTTACTCACCTGCTTTACACGAGCAGAATTCACTCTAGCAGAACAGGCACTACCCTCTAGCATTCAGGTTGAGAAGGGCATGTATACGGCTTTCATTGCATGTCGTACATTTCACGACAACATAGATAATTTAGTTCTCTCGTGCGGCAGGATCACGGTTTTTGTAAAGAAATACTGAGTGCTGTGTCAGCTGCTTCGTGAATACGAGAAAAAAATTATTGAGTCCGCGTCATCTTCAAGTGATGACCATTTGAATACAGATATATATTTTGTGTCCGGAAGCGAAGATAGTGACGACGGTGAGGTGAGCAGCACCTCCGCTGAGGATGAAGACAGTTCGGAAGTGAACATTGCGAGTGCCCGCCTTTGAAGCCGCTTCACGTTATTCCACATTATGAAACTTTTTCCTCGCAGTTCTGAAGCTTAACGAGTGAGATATCTCAAATGTTCTTTGTCTACAGAACAGATGTGGCACCTGCAACTGTTCTTTTTTATGCAGTAGGCAACCTTTTCCCATACATATTGTTCATACTTATTGTTAATAAATGGCCCCGCCACGGTGGTCTAGTGGCTAAGGTACTCGGCTGCTGACCCGCAGGTCGCGGGATCAATCCCGGCTGTGGCGGCTGCATTTCCGATGGAGGCGGAAATGTTGTAGACCCGTGTACTCAGATTTGGGTGCACGTTAAAGAACCCCAGGTGGTCGAAATTTCCGGAGCCCTCCCCTACGGCGTCTCTCATAATCTTATAGTGGTTTTGGGACGTTAAACCCCACAAATCAATCAATCAATTGTTCATAAATGAACTTCATTGTAGTAATGTGAATATGTATGTGGTACAAATATTTTTCAATATTGACTTGCTATCTGTTGTACTGTCGAAGTCAAAATAAGCAATAAATTAAGCATTTTTGGTCGAAAACTCACAAAAATCAGCAGTTAAAGGCTTAGGTGCTAGAAAAATTTGTCAGGATTAACAAGGGAGATGTTGAAGCGTGAAAAAATCAATGCGTTGATTGTTTGACAGACGAAGGTCTAAGACGCTTCTGCAACACATGACCGTATTTTTTTGCAGTATAGAACTAAAAGCCAAAATATATAAGAACAGGTTGCACTTTTTCTCAGTGAAATAATTAGACGAGAAAAGGTAAGCCTGCTGACTTCAGTTCCTTCAACACTGCAATTACTAAGGAACACTAATTCTGTGTCCTCTATGATACGATATCACAAGTTCAATACAAGACACGGAATCGTGTAAGAAAGCAGGCACGATGCTGGGCGCCAAGTAGAAACAAAAATCAACAACTTTTTGGCACTCAAAGCTGATTTCTAATCAAATTGAGTCAGCAAAAGAATCCAGATCTTTCCATCTAACAGATTTCAGTGAACTGTCAATGGCCATCGGTACGCCACCGCTTTTCTGTTTGTTTGCACTGAAGTCTAGGTTTAGGCGAGAGGTGGTGAAAATTAGGGAAAAAAGTTAGTCGAGCGAATTTCATGGCTGAGCTAAGCTTCAGAATTAGCAACAATTGAAAAAGAAGAAAAAAAATGCTGGTGACAAACACGCTTCTATCTTTAGGTGAACCATGGTCGCTCTTGTAGAATACGTCTTTATTACACGGCAGTTTCGACACTAGGCGATAGCTCAAACGGATAAAGCATGTCAGCGCACAGTACCCAACGAATGGTCTTGAAGAGGCATCGGAGAGGCCACATCAAAATATTCCGGGGCTGCAGTGCTTTCTATTCAACCTCAATGTAGAAGGAACAATGTATTTTATATTTAGCTTTAAGCTCCGCAGGTCGTGGGATCAAATTCCGGCTGCAAAGTCTGCATTTTCAAAGAAGGTGAAAATGCTGTATATGTTCAGATTTGAATGTACGTAAAAAACCCTATTTCATCGAAATTTCCGGAGCCTTCCACTATGGCGTTTCTCATAATCATATGGTGGTTTGGGGACGTTAAATTCAGATATCAATGAAATTTATCTTTAGTGCCCCAGCAAAAGATGGGGGACAAATTCATCGAATTAATACGTTAATGATGAAGTAATATTGCCCCACAGACTTTTAATGAGGTTTATAACAAGAAAATGAGCGAGCCACTTTGTAAGCGTCTACATTATCACGCACTCCGAAGCATTTCTTAATATCGTCGATGAACTTCTGTCAAATTGTCAAACTTTAGTAGTTTTTATACCATAACGACGCGGTTACTTCATGTAAGAGGCTGATATTGGTGAGCTTACCGGTGGCATTCCTACAATTGAAATGACTTCCGCGTTGATAGAAGCTCAGCCATGCGTCCACATTCTCACCAACTTTTCTTTCATAGGCTAACGCTTCCATATAGGGTTGCCATGGGTGACCAAAAACGCCCGGTGTCGGAAAAATAGAATCAGGTGTCAGAAGCTTGTTGCCCGTTTCAGAATCGCTCTCTAGCGGCAGACCAGCATTTCGTGTACTTCGAAGAATCGCCATAAATTGCGTCTCTGCAGTCGGTTCATCTCCGTTTGTAGGGAGCGCCGTTATCGTACCCAATACCACCACCAAACACGTACGATGAAGAATGTTTATTTAGAGATTGGCTGATGAAAAAAGTGATTGACTGGTGGGGTCCCGGCACTGATACACTCGCAAGACAAGCGCTCTCCGTCCCCGTCTTCTTTTCATCTTGCCTCTCGCGTCAGCGTAGCAATATTTAACCTGAAGCATAGCTATTCACCGGAACCAGTTGCGTTCACCGAATGTACGACTATGAGGGCTTCTCGAAGCACTTTCAAGCTAAACATTTCACATGGACTAAACCTTGTGTACGTGTGTGGTGCCGAGAGTCATCAGGGTCTATCATTTCAGCTGACGCTTCGGTGAGCGATGCAAACGCGTCATTACTTCCGTGCGAAGCCTTTCACCACTTTCTAGGATTATAAATATTTCGCTCCTTTCCTTATATTCCACTACTATACGTTATTAAGGTAGCTGTATACGGAAACACTAGTACGTATATCTGACTCCCGACTGTGGACGAACACTATATTAAAGACGATGTACTTCTTGGGGACCTTCAACGGAAAAATTTCGGTCTGTCTGTCTGTCTCTCTACATTTGTCTTTCCGCCCTGACAATACCTCAAACGGCATCGAACGGCCTATCCCATCCGCGGCCCCCATCAATGTTGCTCAAGGTTTAGCAAGCATAGTTGTGCGATTGTCAATTAAAAAAGCAAATATTGCGCATATCTGAAACGCCATAACAACACGTCTAAGTTTTGTATGTCTGCCTTTATACTAGAAGAGACACACAAGAGTGACTCTCAGGACTGTAGTGTTTATCGCCCTGCGCTAACAGTGCAACGCGATGGTCAAGAATGTGTTTCGAACACTTAGCTACGATGACACGGTGGTGGCACCTGCCCGTCGCTTTGCATTCTACACCTTATCACCTCCGAGACTGGTGCGCATCTTTCTCCGCGGTCACGCACGCCTTCGTTTTCGAAGATAACTGCCAGATGACGCTGGTGTCTAACTTGCCTACATGCGCTTGTTCGCCTTGGCTACACGCTCGAGGCACTCTAACGCAGCGCCTTCAAAATACCATTCACCAATTTTCTTGCACAGAACATCAAATAAAAATTTTTTTCGCTCTCTTCAGGCGCAAGACTTTCATCTCTCGATGACATTTACAGTGTAAAATGTCAATTCGGACCATTTTTTTATTTACCATAGTTTTATATGCAACTCAAGAACGTCAAGAAAGTAGGATATAGCCTTGAAGGCAGCGCAAGTATATTTTTCAGCAGTTAGAAACTTTTCGCGTTAACTTTTCATGCACTACAACCACCCGCGTTGTGTACGTTAAAAGGGACAATCGCTTAGGAGTTTAGCTTGAAAACAGGAGCTTGAAAAACAGGAGCAGACAAATCTTGAGGTCGAGAAGTGTTTGATGGCAGGCTAATTGGTGAGACATTTAGAAGAAATATAACTGCACTGAAAACGACACACTAAATAGAATTGGGCAAGACGATCGCAGCGTGTTAAAAACGAGACACGAAAACAAAGTGGACAGGACTGCGATAGTCTGTCCATTTCGTTCTCGTGTCTCGTTTTTAGCGAAGTTTTAATTTTCCTTAATGGTTAGCTGACAGTAAACGTCAAAGTAGGAGTGCGACCTCTTGAAATCAGCGGCGTTCTGACATAGCGGACACTTCGAAGCCGACGATGTCAAAATTGAGCTAGACAGGTTGAACTTAGGAATAAATAACACGTTAGAAGGTGGGTCATCCAGGGCACCAAACCAGCCTACCTCACAACGTCAGAAGATTGAAACTACGCCAGTTTTTTTTAAATGAAAATCTAGACTTTCAAACAGTTAACTAAAGCCAGGCGAGCTACGATTCATGTGAAGTGTAGAGCTGCCAGGCTAATAGGTGGTATTCTATGGTGCTGACAAAGTGAAACATAACTCCCTACATAAAGATAGCGCAGCAGCCTAGCATAAATGACCAAATTTGGTTCGAATGCAGATAAAGGTAAATACAAACTTTATGTTTGCTTAAAAGACGTGTTAAAGGAATCATTAAAAAAGGAACAGATCTGGGATGCGGTCTCACTGGTGACCACCTGTCAGTAGTTAACTTCCTCACCAGGGCAGGACTGGCTACTCTGGTGCACTACTTGGCCACTACCTCCCTTAACAAAGTACCAATCAACGTTTGGCCATTAGTCCCCAGCGGCTTCGAAGCGACGATCCAAGGCAGCGATCAGACTTGCGACGTAGCAAAAAGTCCTAAGAATCTCTGGTTCTGGACAAGCTGGCCTTTGAGACTGAATTTAGCTACGTACACCGCAAGAGCGTCTCTAGTGAAGCTAGTGTAGCTGTGATAATCAAAGAATTAGAGAGTTATATATTGGGTCTAATGGGGCTCAGGGATGTTAGTAGTACAATTGATACTTTTACAAAGCAAAATAATAGACATGTCTTATGCTACCGTGGATTAGATACAGAAAAAATCTATGTTTGGGGTTCGTTGTACACAAGAATATTGCTGGCCACATACAGGAATACTATAGCATCAGTGAAAGGGTGGCATTATTAATATTTAGCTCAACTAGGGGCACTAGATGAAGGTGGTAGAGGCCTACGCGCCTACATTCCTGTCATAATGACCATTTGGTTTCTTGCTTTTATGAAGTCTTAGAGTCAGCTATAAATGAAGTAAAGCTACATTATACTATTCTGATGAGCGAATTTAATGCCCAAGTAGGCAAGAAACAGCCGGAAACCAGGCATTGGAGGAAATACGACATCAGCTCTAGAAATGCCACAGGGCAGTAATCAGAAGATTTTGCAGAATATAATTTTTACGGATCTAGAATACCTTCTTTAGAAAACAGCCGAACCCTAAATGTACGTGAGGAAGTACAAACAGCGATTTGAAAATGAAACCGGCTTCATTATTTATGCACACCTAAGCATTTGCACGATTGAGAAGTAGCAGGCGAAATCCGATGCACTGGCCACATATTGATAAGAGCTCGTATTCACCTAGCTTTTAAAAAGGGCGAAAACTGACACGTAAGAAGTAAATAATGGGCCAGTGGTGAGAGGCAAAGTACACGAATTCACAATTTCGCTTCAGAACAGGTTTTATGTTCTAAAGAAAATAACCGAGAATAGCGTTTAGGCAGGGAACGATAATCCTAATATTATTACCTGAGAGTGTGCACTGGCAGTCAGAGGTACAGTCACTAGAGTGAACACTGGAAAACCATCTCAGGGGACAAAAAATCTTCTTAAGAGGCGAAAAACCACGGAAGTCTCAAATGCAACGGGCAATATAAAGCTAGTGTAACTTTCGGAGATAATTAATAGGCACAATATAGCAGACATTGAAGACAAGAATGGAAAAAATTGAGCAGGCTGCAAAATGTGGCAGAAACCTAAAAGCTGCGAAGGAAAACCTTTAAATAGGCGAAAATCTGATTCACGAACTGAGGGACAAATAACGCAACGTCAAAACCAATTGGAATAGCATAGTTGAAGTGGCGGAGGAGTTTTACAGAAAGCTGTTCAGAAGCTAGAACAACCAGGATGATATCATAAGAAGCAATAATTGCCCACACATATTTGCCATCCTACTAGTATTGACAGGAAACTAGGAAAAGCCCAAAAAGGAATGCAAAGATAGAAAGCTGGTGGTGAGGATAAGGTAACAACAGAGCTGCTAACGGGAGTGAAGTGTCTCTTGACAAGAGAGGTACCAGATTCTTGGAAGAAAGCGCACGTAATTTAAGCTAGTAAGAAAGAAGACATCATGAACTAGAGCCTATAAACTGTTTACAAAACGAGTAGCTAATATAATCAGGGCAATAATAGAGTTCATTGAACCAAAGAACCAAGCAGGATTGCGTACAGGATACTCCACAATAGACCATATACATAATATCAATCAAGTAACACAATAATACGCACGATACAATCACACCTATAGATAGCATTCATAGATTACAAGAAGGCGTTTGGCTCAGTCGAGACAGCAGCAGTAATGCAAGCACTGTGAAATCAGGGCATTGGCGAACCCTATGTAAACTTACTGAAAAAGGAAAAAATTATAGTGAGGATACACAGTCACCCTAGTTCTTCATGAAGAAAGTGATAGAATTCCAACAAAGAAGAATGTAAGGCAGGGAGAGAAGATGTCTCCGATGCTATTCACGGCGTGTTTAGAGATGGTTACCAGGGCCAAAGATTGAACGTATATAGGGATAACAGTTATTGAAGAGTGTCATAGGGCCATATTCACAAACCAAACTTGGCCTTTCCTCCCGTTTTCCTCACGTTCCTGTGCTCTCTACGTGCGTTATAAGGACACAGAAATGGCAACAGGGTAAAATATATAATGAGAATTGGTTCATGTATACTAGCCTACTTGGTTCAGCAAGCGCAATGACAGCTTGACACCGATAAGGAAAAACTCGAGGTAAGGTGTAGTGTGGCAGCTGGGGATAGTTGGCATGGCATGACGATAGTTATAGCGCGAGAACAAAACGATGACACAGAGACAAGAAGGACACGAGCGACACGAGCGCTCTTGTCTTTCGTGTCCTTCTTGTCTCTGTGTCATCGTTTTGTACTCGTGCCATAACTATCGTAAGGTGGAGGTTGGTTTGTGATTATGGGCCTTATTGATCTGTCATGCGCTGTTGATATTGCCTTGGTGATTAAATCAGGCAACGAATGACTTCTCATGATTTCTGAACTGGTTGCTGAAAGCAAAACAGTAGGTCTGAAAAATAAAGTTTTTTCACAAAACTAAGTAACGTGCGATCTTCTCGGTGTAAAACAACACTTTGAGGTAGGTGGAGAAACGACGGTAGTCGTAAAGTATTATGTCTACTTAGGACAGGTAGTAACCAGAGGGCTGACAATAAGAGTGAACTAACTACAACAATAAAGATGGGATGAATACCATTCGGCAAGCATTCTGAAATCATGATTGGCAATCCGTCACTAAGCCCCAAGAGGAAGGTATACAATAGCTGAATCTTGCCAGTACTTAATTACGGAGCGGAAACCAGGAGGTTTACTGAAAAGGCACAGCTTGAATTGAGGACGACGCAGTGAGGGATGGAAATGGAGAGGTGTAGCAGAATGTCTAATAGAGCAGATTCTGTCAGAGAAGAAGCTGGTATAGTGATATCATAGTTGAAATCAAGAAGAACAAATGGACATGGGCTGGGAACATAGCGCGTAGGCAGGATAACCGGGGTTATTAAGGGTAATGAACTTAACTCCAAAATTTAGGTTGCCTCGTGAAATTAACAAGTTTGAAGGTATAACAAGTCAGCAGAAAGCACGAAACCGAGTTGATCTTTTTCCCTGCAGTGCGCGTAGTCAGGCTGTTGATGATGAAGATGATGATGAGTGGCTATCACTTAATTATCCAACTTTCATCGCAGGAGATGTTGCTTACTACGACCACAATGGCAGACTGTTTTTATGTGGCCGCCTCAAGACAATGATGGTGTGCCAGAGAAGAAAAGTATTTCCGTGTAACATAGAACACTGCCTAATGGAACATGCTGCCGTGAAAGAGGTAGTCGTAATCGGCGTCCCCACTCCGCATGGCGACGAGTTGCCGGCGGCCGTGATTGTCACAAGGCCGGGATGTTTGCAATGACCGTCACCTCGCCGACGACCTGAAGCGTCATGTGGCTGGTAAGAATAAATATAATTACATATTTTCTCAGCTCATGCTCAATGGACACTCATGCCTCACTGAATATGGGGCCTGTTTAACGTTGCAGGATTATTCCTACTTTGCTTGTGTTTGCTTATTCCGTGCTGCGGCTATACCACACATTAGTAATTCTGGCGTCACACTTTCTCCCTTACTCAGAAAGAAAGCCCTCCTGTATGCACCTCCATGGTGGAGTGTACTTCGTCGACGCCCTACCGAAGAACTCCCTCGGAAAAGACAAATCAGCCTCACTTCAACAGCTTCTTGGAACGCTGCTCAGAATGGACCACGCTGACGAGCATGCTTCTGGCAATTTAGTGTACTAGACGTGGACTGCAAGCGGAACCCACTCGTTGGCCTCATCAATGGTGTCGTCTTGAACTTCGTTGGTCAACCTGACTACTCTGTACGCTCACATATGTCGGTAATCACATGGTATGAGAGTGAGAAAAAAGATTGGGCTATTGTGTTTACAACAGCAGCACTTGTGGATGGTTGCTTTGTAAACATTAAAAGATGTCTACCCTAACTATCCTCGTATTTTAACAAAACTAGTCAATTGAGTTTTCTGAAGTGAAGCCGCGCACAATGTGTTATCAATAAAATGGGTTTTTGTGTTAATGTCACTTGCAAGGCAATATTTTCGAAAACACCAGGCAAAAAACTATGTCATCGAAAAATGTACCAAGAAAATACCAATCAACTTGTGGAAAAAGAACTCAAGTTTGGTGGTTCACTGAGACGCCCTAAATTACCAACTGTGAATTGTGTTTTCTTGCATATGGGTCAGCGAAGTACCGCTAGCGAGTGCGGTAAGCAGCTTTCTGTAACAGCTTGCGTTGCATAAAGCTGGACACATCACTGGTCATCGCTTCTTGTGCAGGCAGCACTTACAAGAACAAAATAATTTATTTGGACTGGAAAGATGTCTAAACTATACTTTACGGTCATTCCTACACTTGGCAATTGCTTGTACTTAAAGCAACATTTTTAGGTAACATATACACCAATGTGGTGGGCACGATAGGCCTAATGCTCGCTAAAACGGTGGAGTGGGTAAGACCACTCTCTACACCGCTGCGTTGCGATGATTGATGTTTCGGCATGTCAACTTCGGAACATTTATAAGCAGTACCTGAACAGTACCTGACGGCCAAGCATTGCCAGATATCTATTTATGGTATGGCGATATTGAACGACAATCCGTTTTTCTGGTCTTCACTGGGAAAGCTTCTGAAGCTATTGAGAGAGATAATTTACGTATCATCAGTTTGCAGTGATGAACCAATTAGCTGTTTCTGTTAGAAGAGGTGCCTCGAGGCTTATAAACACTGCAGCATAAAATCATCACAACAATACAACATTGATGCGAATCACTTATGCGAACGGACGTGCACCGCAATAGATAACTCTCTCAGTAATGGTGTGTAAACAATAAAACAGTGCCACAAAGCAAAATATTGAGCGTTGGCTGCTTTGCGTTATTAACACATGATTGTCCACATTTCAAATGACAATAAAAACGACCGTGATTTCGATCATGAAAGTCTTGCAATTATTCTCTTTCTCTGCCAATCTATAAATCTTGAGGCATGTTCGGGACCTGCTGGGGTTGCATCTTTCCGTACCATCGACTCAAGAGCTTTATTTCCAACAATACTAAAACACAGTGCTGCACACGCTACGTCTACATATTCATACAGTAGCTCAGCTTAAGTCTTCCATGGTGAATTAGTGGCTACAGCACTCGGCAATATCGCGGGTTCAATCCCGTCCGTATTGGTCACATTTTGTGGAGATGAAATAGTTCAGGCCCGCATACTATCCCTACTGAAACGTTCCGTATGAGAGTCCAATAATTCTATATGTTTCCACTAAGAATACATATGTTTCCCATATACTTTTTATATATTTCCGTAAGATTCCTGCGGAAACATATGGAATTATTGGACATCGTATATGGAACGTTTCAGTAGTAATGCGGTGTCAGTGCACGCCAAAGAACACCAAGATGTTTTAAACTGTCTCAGCCATCCACGATGGCGTATCAATGATATCCTGGTTCTCGGACGTAAAACTCCACATATTGTTCTTAGTAGCTCAGCCTACGTGCCGGACTGTTATTGTTACACACTGCGCACCCTATAAATTTACACGTGAGAGTATATACTGATGCTTTTACCCTTTTGTGAAGTTCATAATGAAGAAATAGCGTTGTCTATTAACATATCCCAGCTGCTGTAACGGTTTGTACTGAGAAAGAATAAATACGCTTTGCATGTCAACTGCGCCCAAGATATTCTCGTTGAAATGTATCAGCTAATTGCCAGTCACTTCAATATTTGCTCTCTTGATTACACACAATGGCTATCAGAATCAGGGGCCGTATTCACAAACCTTTGTCTTCGCCCCACATTTTCTTAGTGAAGAATTCTCCGATCTCGAGGGATTTTGACAGCGTGGGTACCAATTCAACCTATTTGGCACTTAAGAGGGCGAGGAGGACAAACGATATCCAGTGAATCAAGGAAAGAAAGAAGCGTGTGCCGATAATAGCAAGGTAGCACGCAAAGGGTCTAGCATCGAGAGTATACGATGACAGCTGCTTGATTGATATGTGGGGTTTAACGGCCCAAAACCACCATATGATTATGAGAGACGTCCGTAGCGAAGAGCTCCGGAAATGTCGACCACCTGGGGTTCTTTAACGTGCACCCAAATCTGAGCACACGGGCCTACAACATTTCCGCCTCGATCGGAAATGCAGCCGCCGCAGCCGGGATTCGATCCCGCGACTTGCGGGTCAGCAGCCGAGTACCTTAGCCACTAGACCACCGCGGCGGGGCATATATGATGATAGCCGATGCTCAGTGTCTGTTCTGCGAGCGTCTGCTACAGTGCTTACGTGATGCCGCGTTGTAATAGACTTCTGGGTGTGCTGTGCAAAGCCAAGCGCACTCGTTTCAGCAATGACCATAGTTAAAAAATAAATTGCTCCATGGTCTCGAGCAACAATCCATGAACTATATTGTCAAGTACAAGTGAACACCACTTCAGGTGTACCACATCAATCAAACCATGAAAAAATCAATGCATGCAATGTTTGAAAATGAGCCCCTAATCTCTTGCCCTGTTGAACTCGACCAGTTACCACAAATGGTAATGAAGCTGCGCTGCTACTCAACCTATTAGGTGTAATCAAGCATGGTATAGTGGTGAACGTAAGGGTGTTATGTAGCTAGACGTAAAAGGATTGCCTTTTTTGCAATCATCTTATTACAATACTACAGGAGCGAATGTTGTGCCTGCGGATGAATTCTGCAGAAATATAGAACAGTAGTAATTAAATGAAATTGTAAGCGCAATTACGCAAATTCAATGCAACGCAGCTTTTTGATCAAGCCGGATTACGAGAGTAAGCATACGCTTATGCTTAGATATGTGTCTTCGTACAAAACGGGGGAGACTCGTCGGAAGGTGTTTCAGTGCTAATGCTTTTTGCAAACACGGTGCAGTTATTACCTCCAGCGCTGTTCGAAGTGAGCAAACAGAGCAAGCGACGTCTATACGAGTCTTGAAGTTAGGAGACGCTACCACACGCACTGAGAAGGACGAAAAAAGAGAGACTCTCGTTTTGTCTTCTGCGAACGCCTGAAATCGAAGTGATAGATAATAAAGCCAATTTTCTGGCCCAGCAGACGTCAGGGAAAGTTTTCGCAAAGCAGGGTCGGATTATTGGAGACCATACAAAAGTAGAGTTTGCTTTTATGGGAGTGAAAGCCACACAGAAAGCGAGATGAAGTGGGGCTGTTTTAGATGTGAGAATCAATAAGAATTAGAAGAGTTGTGAGTTAGTAAGCAAAATCTTCCTTAAAGAACAATAATGAAAACTTACTGAGTATTCATTTATTGAAAGTGACACTGTATATAGTGACAGTGAATTCAGAAAAGTTGATTAGCGCTTGCCATTCGCCGATATATTTTTGCTTTTTATTTATATTTGACAAAATATGGGAAGGTAGCCTACGTTTCAGCCGGCTATTCCATTGTCATGACATTAAAGTACAAAATTTATAGTTCACAGTTATACAGCCACACCCGGTGGTTTCTGCCTTCTAGTAACCCCGGACAGACGCTTTCTAATATTTTTTTTTAAATTTGACCAAGTTTTGCTGGACGTTTTGCATTTGGCATCATTCGAAGGACTGACGATATTTTATCAATAAGGTAAATGCTGCAGTGGCAAGCTCTCATCTCAAGCACTATAGCAGTGGGTGAGAGATTACAGCGTTCAACAACAATTCAGGAGGTACTGGGTTGAATTCGCAGTGTCACCGAGTATTCTTTATTTAAGAGGTTGCCTGGCCTGATAATATGCGCGGAGGCGGGTGCTCACTTTTTGAGAAGGTGGTTATCGCCCTTTTTTCTTTCAATCTCCCTTTGACCAAAAAACACTACGCTGTGCTCTTTCATGAATTACATGATTCAGGTTTCACATTTTCTCCCTCCGTTTTTTGTTATCTGAGAGCGTACAGGGCCGGACATACCAATAACATACGAGGTATATACGTTTCATATGTTTAGATATTCAACGAAGGGCCATTCATCACGATGTTTTGAAGAAAATGTAGACGTGCAGCGAGCTTGCGGCTCAAGTTGACTGCCTTTGTCGGGATAGCTTTTTGAACTAATTTGGTGGGAATAATGACATGCAGCAAGGCAAATGAGCACGCACATATAGAGAAGACACGGAGTGATTAGTTCGTCTTCTCTCTCGTTCCCTGTCATGCTGCGCGCTTCAATGTATTGCCGCTCTGAATGGGTAAAAAGAAATATAGCAGCTAATCCAATTCTGCAGAGAGGGTTACAGATTGTCCGAAGTGGAACAAACAAAGGCAAATTGATTTGCCTCATAGAGAGATACTCTGCTTTTCGTTTCTACAATAAATTTTGAAGCCGAAGTTTATTTTTTTAGTAACAACAGTTTCAGCACAGATGAACGGTGCATGGACAACAAAATCCGTGTATTCAGCTTGACTAGGTTTGTGCCCCAGTAGTAATTTCCAACAGGTATTACAATAGGCATAAATATCATACACATTTACAACAACGGGTGATAGCTTGTTTATCCTGATTAAAATTGATATGGTGAAATGAATATATTTGACCATTGCTGTATGTACAAGATATGACATGTAGAGGAGCTAGGCTCTAAACTAATTTTCGCTGAGTGGTTCCATTTTACCCGATTTCTTGCTCATGACGGTACGTTGGAAAATGAAACAACTCCTTTAAATGAACACATTTTGTTTAAGGTTACACTTGTTTTAATGCAGCAAAAAAAGAAATTGAAAATTTTATCGCACAGAAGACAAAGAACTAGAAATTCAGCCCAATCATTGCCAAACTTACTCATCAGTGAAAACTGCTTCTCATTTAAAAGTTGCATACATACATTCATACATACATACATACATACATACAT